GTGGAAATGCCCTTCTACCTCCTCTCCCAAGGCCCGCTAGAAGCCTTGGTCCAGACATGTTATCACCGACGTATCAGAGAAGCGTAAGTTGGTTTGCCATTTATTGCATTCCATCACATTAAATCTTAACTGTCGGAGGGGCCGCGCCTAGTTTGATAGCAGAGATTGTGACAGAATATTGTAATAGAGTTTCAGGAAGAAGAATCTGTTCCTTTGAGTGGCCATATACCCTATTCATGTAATGCTACACCGAAACACCCCTTTTATGAATAACAAGAGGATCTGGAACTAGATCATGATTATTTTATTTTGGAATTAAAATATCTGTATCGATAGAACTATGTTTTACCAAGACCGGACCATGTACGACAAAGCAAAAAGGAAGATCCAATAGGACAAGCAATTCGAGCCGACAAGTCTGTGATATGGTCGAAGTTGAGTTGCCAGCTACACTACTCTGGATTCTTACTCCGAAACTAGATCTTCTTTCCCGCAGCGACGCCTACCAAGAAGTCTCACGAAATAAGAAATCCAGGCGATCCGTTGCTTAAGGAGAGGAAACGGTGTTTAAGGTTATATGTGGCAAAAACGATTGGACGCAAGAAAATTCGGCTCTCAGTAGCCATAGGCGTACACAAACACTACACTGCTTTACTGATCTTTGGTGATACTTTCCTCGCAGCCTTAGATTTTGTATCTACTCTCGAATACATTATTGGTTACTTTCAGCCCAGCTGCGTCAGTCACCTACATTTCCAACTATTTAGGATAGATGTCTATCTACTCCTATCCATTCGCATGAAATTATAAGCTAAACTAATAAGCCAATATCGAATTTTGGAACGCTAAAGTGGCCCACGTTTAGGTTTACTACACTTGTAATCTTGAAGGAAATGTTGGTTGGAAGGAATTCGTGAATTGGCCTCACTAAAGCTTATTGGTTTCTTGCTTTCACGATGTCTGTCACAAGACGGATGAAAGTTCAACACAAGGAGTCACAAGGCAGTGAGTCGAGGGCTTATTCTCCAACTTAGATGGTTTTTACGCCAAGTCAATCCTCCCTAGAGTTCTGGTGTAGTCAATTCACGAATCCCTTCAAACTAACTTTCTCTTCGAAACAAAAAGTCGAGTAACACTAAATCATTTGAGGAATCATTGAAAAGTGGCTCACGTTTACTTTTTTCTAATCAGTAATAACTGTAAATTGTATGCATTGAGAGGCCTAGAAACCTCAAATCGCCTAACATAATGAAAAGAATGATAGGTGAGTTTCCCACAATACAACGAATAGGTCTCGCAATGCCAGCTAATTTCATTCGGCTTTACCTTCCATAAGGCTTTCTTGTTCACACTGGACTGCAGTTTCGACCCCGCCTGAGTCTCGTCAGTTTTGAAACTAAGTTGTAAGCGTGAAACGACAATGCTGCCACTCTGTCACAGCCACCGGTACCATTGGCTCACTTTGTGATTCCACATAGTCAAATCCCATGGCATCATGAGGTTTTGTACTCACTTCGTTGAGAGAACTTCCATTATCACTTCTTCCATTACCCAAAGCGACCTAAGGCATCTAGATTTCACACTCGTGATATACTGGTAACTATAAAGCCCACTTATTTAATATATTTTGTTTGCTTTAACGGTCTCAATCAATTCATGTGGTGAATATTATTTCGTCTTGCAGATATCTTTTCCGCTAGAATTGTACATTGAATGATGATTGCGCTGTTTTCAAAGAATTGCATTAGCTTTCAGGACATAACCGAGTGCCAGCATGGTGTTATGACACAAGCCCGACTGGGTTTCGATTCCTGTTGGGATTGGTGATCGGCTAAAGGCGTGGTAGGAACTTTAGCTCATTTTTGCTGATTAATCTCGTCGAAATAGTATTTTATTTTACTGACCTCATCCTTACATTATAACAATATTGACAAAATGTATTATGATGCCGATTCTTATCTGAGCAAATTTATCTAACGCATACTTCAGCTATTTACTTTGATCAACATATTAAATAAATTCTTATTATTATAGTCTCCTAAGTTAGTACCCTTATCCACTTCGTTATTTGACTAGAAAGATTCTTATAAGTAATGCGCAAGAAGATGAAATGTCATTTTGTCCAATGTTTCCCACCCATATCATTATGGGAGCATTCACCCAACAATTCGTCATTTATGTTATGCTACCTGAGATGACTACAATTTTCATCAAAAGTAAGTGTTGGTTTTTCGAGATATTCGGATGGGCAGGGGTCTCTGCTAGGCTATAGACGCGGCTCAAGAAACTGAAGGTCTGTGCGAGAGGATTCTTAGAGTCAATGCTATTGGCATTTGCATGACTTATATCTCCCAACTCTTCCTTTTTTTCCATTTTCTCCCAGCTGGCTTTCAGGCTCCGTCAGCAGGGGTATCAGGCTCATCTGATATCTCGAAAGAAGAAGTGTATGGCGAAAGAAAATGCAGTCGTGAAGGCTACGAGTGTCGTTCCTCCTGAACAGGGTCAGGGTGAGGTTGACGGGGAACTTAAAGTGTCCGAATCTGTGAGGCCCAATTCCCCGGAAAAATCTCCACTAGCTGAGGGGACTGGCACACAAGGCTTGCCCATCGGAAATTGCCCATCTGCCTCTTCTCCTGTGATTTCGATGCCCGAAACTGTCAAACCGACTGGAGACGCTTCTAGCACGCGAGAAGCTGCTTATGATGCTACTTCGAAGCAATCAGTTCGACGAGCAGTCTCGGAAAGCCGCGAAGCGGTAAGTACTTCAATTTTCCTGAATTGACCTACTTGCTGTGGCCTTTTTGGCGGTAGTAGAAGCTTTACAGCACAACTCAGAAAACCCGAATACGTTCAAATTGACTCGTAAAGAAAAGCACTATGGAATTGAAAGGAAGCTAGACACACAGCTTTATCACAAATTTAGCTAAATAAAACATTGATTTCTATATTATGTAGCTTTTATTCTGGATACCATAGTTACTTCAAATATGCGTTTAACCCTCCATGAAAGGTGATTTAACAACTTTCCTTATAGGCATCCAGCATGCTGCCATGGGAATTTTATCCCTGGCGTATGTGGCGAATCTAAATCAGCCTTCATAATTTCTATCATCCTCCAAAGATAAATTTTCGTTTCGTAACTTGTAAATCTACTGCAAGTTTGCCAATGTCCTTTTCGTATAAGTGCTGATAAAGTTTTAGCTATACTTAAAATCGTCTTTCTAGGTTTAGTCCGTGTTTATAAAAATGCTTAGTAGTTTAACATTAGTGGGATAAAAGTTATTTCGTATGAATCTGCCTGATGAGGAGATTTATAAGTCTTCCTCACATCCTCATTCGGTTCCCGTAAAAACGAGCTGGGCTTCCGGTTTTCACGCTGCCTAACAGACATAGTCAAGGCTAGTCCGCATTTCTACCAAACTTCAGGCTAACATTAACTAAAGAGGATTAAGAGCTCCATTCACCCTATTTCGTTTAAGATGATGAATTATTGGTAGTTGAATTTTCCCACAACGATATGAGTAGACCCTATACTTCCGTTGAATTTCACAGTCTTGCTTCCCAAAAGGTATTCTCATCCAAGCAGGAGTGGACCGCAGTTTTAACCTCGCCTAGGTCTTATCAGCATCCCTGGCGGGACCCCCACCCGGGTGGCAAGGCCTATAGCATAAACGCATTAGGCACCACGGCAACGTAGCAAACACATCTTTGCCTCGTCGAAAATCTCACCACAAAAATGTGATATGGCAAAGATCTGGGCTTCCTTGAAATTCACTTCGGCTCTGTGACCCAAGAGCACTCGTGGCAGTGTGGTGGTTAACGGGCTAGAGTCTTGCTAAGAGTGCTAATGAGGAAAATTCAGCTACAAATTTTTCATAATCTTAAACGAGGGAGAGTGAATACTGCTCTTATATTCGATATACTGGTAGTCGCGAAAATCTACTTATAAACTGAAAAAAATTAACTGGCTCTTCCTTACATGAAATATATACTCAGAAACACAAAACATAGGAAAAACAATACAGAATTGTATACGGAGAAATATTACATGCTTGAGATAGCTTACTTTCATTTCTATCTAAGTACACGTAATTAAGGTTGTATGTTGGTTTATTTCAGGGTTTGAAACCCGCAGTCATATTTCTGAGTAATTATAATCGAGTAGAAACTCAAATTAGGATAATCTAGGAAAGGTATAACCGTCGTTGCGCAATCCTGAACGTATGTCTAACTGAGTTGGTGAACGAACTAAATGCGTATAAGGAAGATGGATATAGTTAGAACCCCAACCGAGTAAGCCTGTTATTTCGTCTTTTTGTAGGTGGTGCAACATCTTTCCTCTCCTTAAGTCTCTTTATCAAGTTGTTTCCACATGTTGTTTTCCCGGCAGATGTCTAAAAAAA